AACGATGGTGTTCTGGCCTTCCCCCCAATGGGTTCCGAGGGCGGCGACCTCGCCCGGGGCCGGGCACGCGCCGCGGCCACGGCGAGCTCGATGGCGCTCGAGAGCTCGGACGCCAGGCATTTAGCCGCCAGCGCCGAGGCCCCCTTCGCGGGGCCCCTTGCCTGGGCGCAAGCATTTTCCTGGGCGGCTTCACATTGCTGGGCGCGCGCGCTCGACCCGTCGCACTCCTTGATCATCGTGAGCTGCGCCGTCCGCCCACGGTGCTCTTCGGCTCCGGCAGCGCCTTCCCGTCGCTCCTCGCGTCGTTCCTGAGGGCGGCCAGGCGGCGCGCTGGCTTCGCAGGTGGCATGTTCGACCTCATCGTGCGAATGTGCTGGATGCCGAATGCGCGCGTGCTCGTCGATGGCATCGCGACGCGCTTCAAGCTCGTCTCCGCGGGCATTGCTCAGGGCCGACGGCTGCCGGGCTCGCTCTGGGCAGTTACCGTGAACCCTTTCGTGCGCCAATTGAGGGGGGTCCTTGCTCCCTTCGCGATGTCGGCGCTGGACGTCTGCGCCGACGACGTCGGCTCTGCGCTTCGAGACCGCCGACTTCTCCCGCGCATGCGACGAGTGCTTCGGGCTGCCGAATCTCTGGCTGGTCCGCGCCTGAAGATCCCCAATTCAAGATCATCCATCCCTGTGGCTCATGCGCCCAGGGGCTAGCCAGCGAAGCGCTGAGTTAGTTGGCCGCCAATATTCCTCGCTCGGCTCAGATGGCGGCACCCCCGTACGCGGAGCACCTCGACATCTACCTTGGCCTTGCTGCGGACTCAAAGGGCGCGCGGCAGAAGCCTGGGGCCAAGTGGATTCATCGCGTTCGGGAGCTGATGCCGCTTGGGGCGCCGACTCAATTGACGGCGTTGCCCGCGATGCGACGAGGGTGCTCACGATGATGAGCTAAACCGCGACAGCGGTGCACGCGCCCGCCTTCATCCACAGGCGCGAGAATTGGGCGCGGTACGAGATCTGACATCTTCATCCTCAGAGCAGCCCCAAATCTCAAGCACTTGGCCTCGGAGAGTGGCCGCTACTTCGCCCTGGCAGCTTGATGTCGGGGGTTCGTAAGACCCGGGTTTGCCAGGACTCGGGTTCGCCTTCGTTTTTTGACGACCGCGCCTCGGATTTTGACGCGGAGGAGTTCCGTGGGATGTCTGCAGCGGGAGGCCTCGTCAAAATGCAGGCTCGGCCTCGTCATTTGTTTGACGACCTCGTCGGGTATTTCCGAGTCCCCTGTGCCCAGGTCCTACGCCCCCTGGTGATGGTCCTGAACGTGGCACCCAGGATGAGGGCTGCCCGTCACGCCATCACCAAGTGGCGTGGCCCCCTGGGCCACCTGCGCGAGACCGCCAATGAGAAGGGCACGCTGGCCGAGATTGGCGCTGGCTGGATGGCGCCCCTGTGCTGGACGTTCAAGTCGCTGATCTCGTGCGTCGCCGAGGCCGCAGAAGGCCGCCCCCCTGGCGCGGCGCGGGCCGCTGCCGCGCCCGCTGCGCTCGCCGCCCTTGCTGCAGTGAGTCGCTGGGCCTGGGCGCGCGCCCGAGCAGGGAACCCTCTCCTCTACCCTTTCGAGCCTCCCTCTTCCCTGATGTCCTCCACCTCTCCTCGCCGAGCGGCTCTTGTCTTGGCGCGCCCCGCTTCCAGCTTCGCCCCGGGAACCCTTTCGGGGCCTCATCAAAGCAGAAGTCTCTCTAGTCTGGCAAGGCGCGGTCGTCAAGACGGCGGCGGGGGGCTGGCTCATCGGCGCACGCCTCCATAGCGATGTCAAGAAAGCTTGCCGTTTCAGATGTTCGCAGTATCGAGCTGTGATGTCTCAGTAAGTTAGTTTCCCAGTTCTGCGGGGTGTTGATTGCCATTCCGAGCAGCCGCCTGAGCGCCTCGCCTCTCGTCTGGAGCTCAACGGAGATCCGCCCCCCGAGGCCGTAGAGAGATTTGCGCGCGGGTGCTGCATTTAAGTCCGTTCCGCTCAGATGCTGCGCCTAGCCCTCAGATGTCGGGGGAGGAGCTGGCAAGGGATCGCTATGAAATTCGCCGGGCAAAATAGTCGTTGGTTGATCACATGCGCGCGCCCTGCTCGTCCCGCGTGGACTATGACGCCCCTCGTATACGAGCGGCGCGTATGCATATATGTATATACATATCCATTTGTTTTACTTGGAAGTTATATGTACATCTGTATATATACATATATATGTGTATATCTATATATGTGTATATATATGTAAAACATAGTCCACATCTTGACTGCAGCCTACGTTGTGAGCGATGAGACAGCGCGCCGTTTGCGGGATCGACAAATGGCGCAATTTGCGTGCTGCAATGTGCGTGGGGCAATCTATGTGGTGCAACCGGGGTGGTGCAATTCACCCTGCCGGCCGTGAAGTGTCAACTCCACTGCTCGCGCGATCATCCCACCCACCCACCCGCAATTTGGTTTGCAAACCCATGCGGCAGAGATTGCGATGACTGCTCGGCGCTGGCTGGCGCATCGCCGCGGCCGCACCAGCGCGCAAGCTCGCGCGCAGAGCGGTCAGGTAGTCAGAGGCGACCGACGCGGCGGCGTTTGCGCCCGACCGTTTGGCACTTCAGTGCGCGTCGGTGACTCGGGGTGGCGCGGCAACATGGCGATGTCGACAACGGCAGACACGATGCTGATAGTAGCGACGCCAGTGGCGATAATGGCAGCGACGGCGGCAATTGCAATGGCGGCGCCGATGCTGATCACGCCGGTGGCGATGCTGGTATAATTGCGTAGGTGATGAGAGTTGTGGTACGGATATCGACATGCTCGCGCGGCCGACGCGCGCGAGTGGCCCGCCTAGTATTAACGGGTTCGTGACCCCCCGTGCCCACGCACGCGCTCAAGGGCGTCGTTTGAATGATTCCGCCATGCGTGCGCGAGCGGCCCCTTTGGTCGAATTTGATGGGCATGTTGGAAAAACTTCTCTGCCCTTTGTGAGGGGGTCACAAAGGCGCGGGGTCGTCTTGGAGCCTTCGGGGGCGTCTCAGGAAGCGCCCCAAGAAGGCCGGAGAAGCAAGACGGCCGACGACGACGACGACGACGACGGCGGCGACGACGACGACGCCGACGTCGACGACGACGAAGACGACGACGCCGACGCCGACGATGACGACGAAGACGACGACGACGTCGCCAACGAAGACGACGACGAGGGAGGAGGGAGGACGACGACGGCGACATCGACGACAACGACGACAACGACGACAACGATGGAGGAGGGAGGACGGCGACGACGCGAACGACGAAGAAGGAGGAAGGACGGCGACGCCGACGACGACAACGACGAGGGAGGAGGGAAGACGACGACGAGACGACGACAACGACGACGACGACGGCGACGAAATAGGAGGGATGACGACGAGACGCCGACGACAGACGACGACGACGACGACGAGGGAGGAGGAGGAAGGACGACCACGGCGACGACGACGACGGAAACGACCACGACGCCAAAGAGGACGACGACGAACACGAGGAATGACACAGGACGACGTAGGCGACGACGACGACGACGCGGGAAGAGGGAGGACGGCGACGACGACGACGACGACGACGCCGCAAGAGCGCGCGCTCACGCTTCTGTTGAAAATCAGTGTTGCAAAACCTTGTGTTTTTGTAGGTTTTTCGGACGCGCGATTTTGAAATCCTTCCGAAACCGATGTTTTTTGAAGGATTTCGGCGTACGCGCGCGACGACGCGCGCCTCTGCACTTCGTCAATTTTTTTGCAGGGGATTCTCGCGACGGCGCACGCGCAAGGGCGTTCGACAGATTTCGACATGCGCGCGCGCGACGCCCGTTTGGTAGCATGTTGTGAAAATCTTGATAAACCAATGGTTTTCTCAAGATTTCGCAAGAGCTCGCGCGTAAGTTTTTTTATATAGCAAATCAGTGTTACGAAACCCTGTGTTTTTTTTTGTTTTTTTTGGAAACTCGATTGCGAAATCTTTCCGGCACCGAAGATTTTTGAAGCATTTCGGCGTGCGCGCGCGACGACGCGCGCGTGTGCACTTCGTCCTTTTTTTTTGCAAGGGATTCGCGAAAAAGTGCGATGTTAAAACAAAAAGTCACCGCATAGTTTTTTTACAAGGGAACCTCAGGGGGGGGGACCCGGTTGGCCTGGGACATTGCGATTTTATATTTAGGATGGACATGTGGTCTGAATCATATTTGATTTACCTACCCGAGAAAAAGGGGTACCGATAACGCCCGGGGGGGGGTAGAGTCTATTCTGTTTTTGGAAATGAGAATCTGCGATGTGCAATATATGTTGTGCAACCGTTGTGGCGTTGCGATACACGTTGTGACATCTATTTGATTCAGTCCACGTTGTGCAACATATGTGGCGTAGCTGTGGTTGTGCAACATATGTTTTGCACTCTCGGTGATGCAAGCTAAGTTGAGTTATACCTGTAAGTGCATACAGTTAGATCTGGCGCATAACCTATGTTGCGAGTGATCAACAAACGCACCGCAAACGCGGTTTGCTTCGTCGTGAAATCTGTGTGGTGCAATCCGACGGCGGCGACGGGTGGCGACAAGACGGCAACGAGGCGGCGACGACGCGGCGATGGCGGCCACATAGCCACCAGGCCGAAAGCACGGCCCAGACGACGGGCGTGGACAAGTCGGCGACGGGGTTCGATGGCGGCCACACCGCCGCCAGACCGACAACGCGACCCAGGTCCTTAGAACAGAAGCAAGAACCCGTAAGTGCAAGCAGTGCTTGGGGAATGAAGGAGGAAGAGGAGGAGGAGGAGGAGGAGGAGGAGGACGCGGATGAGGAAACAAGCAGGAAGAGGAGGAGCAGGAGCAAGGGGACGAGAAGGAGGAAGAAGAGGAGGAGGAGGAGGAGGAGGAGGAGTTGGAGGAGGAGGAGCTGGAAGAGGAGGATACCACCAGGATGAAGCTCATGACGAGGAGGCGGGCGGCCGCGGCTGAGGGCTCCGCGCCGGCGCTGAGCACGATGAGCAGGACGTGCCCAGAGGCCCCCCCCTCCCCCCCCTTCGGCCACGTGTACGAGTGACGTTTCGCTGGAGCGACCTTCGGTGCGTGCCCACTGGGGTCCCCCCAACACCGGTTTGCGCGTTTGGGGTAGTCTTCCTCGCGGCCCTCGAATGCCGCGCGCCAAAGGGCACCCCTGCCAGGGTCACTCTTGCGCGCAGTCGACCCCCCAGCCGACCTACGCAAGGGCCACGCGGGTGCAGGGCCCAGGGGTAGACGCGAGAGAGAGTAGGGAGAAAGGAGGGAGGACGCAGGGATGGACACTGAGATCCTGGCGTTGCAATAGTTTCCACACCGGGCGATTTCGCCCTCGTTGGGTCCTCGGGGCCGTCACGGACCGATCTGGTTCGGAAAATTTCAGATGTGGTCCAAGGCTTCGGTCGTGATCTTCCCCGATGCTCCATGTTTCTGCAACGTCAGATCCGAGGAGAGGAAGGGAGGGAGGAAGGGAGGGAGGGAGGAGAGGAAGGGAGGGAGGGAGGGAGGGAGGAGGGGGAACCCAGCCTGGAGCGCCACGGGGAGAGGTTTCCATGGAGGGGCCCGTCCGTGGACAGTATGGCCCCGAAAGCCCGGAGGTCCCCCTGTGTGACGGGGATGGGGTCCCCCTCGGGTGCCCCGGGGCCGAGGAGGGGAGGGAGGGAAGGAGGGAGGGTCGGGGACCAGAGGAAGGACTAGGTTTATGTTGTTCCCGTCCTACTTACGGATCGCATCCTAGAAATAATTTCGAGCACACGGAAAAGTGTCAAAGGAGTGTCGAAGCAGTGTCGGGCGAGTGTCTCCCAGGGCCCGACACGTGAAAACCTCTGAGTTTCGGTACTTTTTGGGCGCTCGAAATTCTTCCTGGTGATCAGGGCCAAAGTAGGTTGGAGCATCATAAGATTAGGCTGGCGCACAAGCCCAGCCAGGCGCACATCCGGGTGGTTCGGACTCTGGTCCTGGGAGAAGCTGGAGAAACGTGCCGAATCGTCATCCTGCCAAGGCCGGCGCTGACCAGCAGCATCGCGTCCAGGCTTTCTCTTCCAATCTACCTTTAAGTCGGGCCTGTCCCCTACATATGGATTTTCGTCCAAAAAAATAAAGAATACTTCAAAATACTCCAAAAAGGTCAAAAATATTTAGAAACTAGTCCCCAGACTATGTTTGGACTATTTCTCGATTGTTTTTGGTGTATTTCTTATTTGTCGTCGAAAATCCCCTCTAGGGGGACACGCCCGACTTAAATCTGCCTCGAAGAGGGAGGGAGGGAGGAAGGGGCATGATGGAGAGAGGAGGAATGGGAATGTTGGAGGAGGGGGAGGAGGCGGGAGGAGGAGGAGGAGGAGGAGGAGGAGGAGGAAGGAGGAGGAGGAGGAGGAGGAGGAGGAGGGAGGAGGAGGAGGTGGAGAGAGGAGGCAACAGGGGGGGGGGGACCGCTGCGGCCGGGGTGCGCGGCTCAGGGGGGGGAGGGGGCGCGAGAGAGGGAGAAGGGGGGAAGGGCGGACGACGCAGGAGGGGGCGGAGGGATGGGAGGAGGGAGGCGGGTGGAGGGAGGAATCAGGGAGGGAGGGAGGGAGCCTTATGTCGGGCCCAAGAAACATCAACAGTAGCCCAAACATGCACCAGAAAGATTAACAAATACTCAACAAATAGTCCCCAGACTATTTTTTGATTATTTTTTGGCTATTTTGGTGGGTGTTTTTTTTTCATTCTCGTAGAAAATCCCCCTGTAGGGGGACACGCCCGACATAAAGGAAGGCCCCTTCTCTCTGCAGTGCTTAGTAGTTGTGAGTGATCAAGTCCCGAACCGACGTCTAATAACTTTGGTTCTGGACCTTCGCCCCTGCGCTGAGAGGCGGCGAGCCACGGGGCCAGTCCTCAAAAAGATAAATGGCGCTTCGCGTTGTTCGAAACCCGGGGCCATAACCCCAGCGCCAGGGGGCCCTCCTTAATTTAGTGATGGGGGTGGGGACCCGCTCAGGTGCCCCCGGGCCTTTTTGGGGGGAGGGAGGGGGGGACGGCGGGAGGGAGGGAGGAGGGTGGGGGGAGGGAGTGGGGGAAGAGCAGGGAGGGAGGAGGGAAGAGGGGGGAAGGAGGATGGGATGGTGGAGGAGGGCGGGGGTGGGAGGGAAGGGCGGCTGGACGCAGCAGTGCAGCACTCTGTGTGCTGACCAGCGACTTTTTTCTATCCCCGCAGCTCCGAGGGACCAGAACGGGGTGCGCGACTCTGCCCGCCGGCACGCCCGCAGCGAATGGACTGAGACACCAGGCGGCCCAAAGTGGAGGGTTTATCTGAAGGGCTTAGACGACCCGTCCTCCTCCTCCTCCTCCTCCTCCTCCATCTCCTCCTCCTCCTCCTCCTCCTCCTCCTCCTCCTCCTCCTCCATCTCCTCCCCCTCCATCCGTAGCCATTTTGGCTCAAGTTTTGAAATGTCCCCGGACGGCACATGGATACCGCTAGTCCCCGCCAGTCTGTCAGCGAATCAGGGGTCTTCCTTCCTCCAGTGCGGGAGCAGTGGCTTCAGGCGGAGTCCGCACCTGGAGAGGAGGGCTCGCGAGCCCCACCATGGCTCCCCTTCCCAGGAGGGGAAAAACACACAGACACAATGAATCGTCGACTCCCAGGAAATGATGGGAAAATATGGGAAGTGGGGGGAAGACGAAAACCCCCAAAAGATAGGAGAATATGGGGAAACTGTTTACTTGTGTGTATTTACTTGTGTGTCCTGGGGCCCCTTCACCTTCCCGACGTGCTGCGTGGCCCGAGGCTTCCCTGCTGGGGATGCGCTTGCGGGGCTGACAAGAGCTGGGCCTGCCGCGCCCGCTGCCGTTGCGGGCGCGGTGCCCCGGCGCGCAGTGTCGCCGTGGCCAAGGCTGCCGAGTCCACCAGGGAAACAAAAAGTGGCATAAACATAAAGCCTCGGAGGTCCGCGCGGATTTCTCGGGTCGGCGCTGGACACCCCTCCCTGGCGCGCGGAGCGCGCCAGGGGCGGCGCCGGAGGCGCCGCTGGGGGGCACCAGCGCCGATCCGAGAAATCCTCGCGGACCTCCGAGTTTTTATGTTTATGCCACTTTTCGTTCCCCTATCCAAGGCCTCGCACATGGAGGAGGATGGCGCCGTGCCACCACCGCCCCGTGGGCCCGTCAGTAGCATGACGAGACGGCTGAGCTTCGTAAGCAAGTGGCGAAGCTCGAGAAGCAGCTTGAGAAGGCGAAGCCTCAGGCTGATGCACAGCCCCTCGACGTGGACGGCGACGGCGGGAAGAGGGGACAAATATCAAGTACGGAGCTCCTCAGCTCCTTCCAGTTCCTTCAGAAGCAAATCCAGGATCCTGCCGTTCCTGGACACTGCAAGGCCGCCTTTTAACTCGAGGTGGAGTCGCTGCGTGTGCAACTCGAGAGCATCCAGACCACTGAAGCTGCGCACCGCCGCGTTTAGTACAAATTCAATCATGCACAGACCCAGCTCAGGAAGTTGGAGAGCGAAGCAGTGTCCATGGCGAAGAAGCTCCAGGTCCTCCAGGCGTCCTTCGAGAAAAAGCAGCTATCTTAATTAAGCAGGTTCAGATCGAGGCCTTCAGAAGTTTTTCCCGGAGGCCGCCAAGGCCGTCGCCCCTGAGGGTCGTGTCGACCAGGGCCTGCTGCCTCACTTCAAGTTAACCAAGGAAGAACTACCTCAAGATGCACGTGAGACCTTTGTCGGTCTCGGAGAGGACACCGCCGCCAAGCTCCTCTCCTGCCTCGAGGAACAGGTGCGCAAGGCAGCCGCGGCGATGCCCCAGCCCATGAAGGTGGATGGGCATGGTCAGCATGGCCAAGGTGTTCGCGATGTTCCTGTTCCTGGTGTTGATGGGGAGGCAGGAGGTTCAGGCGTCAAGCGTGAGACCGATGAGTTCACGCTCGGCCAGATCCAGGAGCTCATCATATTGGCTGGTGAAGATGGCGCTGGAGATGACGTCGTCAAGCTGTTCAATGAGAAGCTCATTGCCATGCACACTGCCAAGCGACAGAAGGTTTAGCCCATTCCTCATCAGCTGGCTCCCTGTCCATCATGGTCAGGTTCGGCTACCTGCTGACCCCGGCCTTCGTAGCGCGTTCTTCATTGAGTGCGTCAACGCCAACGGTCGCATCCGCACGCTGAAGGAGAAGGTTCTGGCATCTACTGCCACAGTGTTCGTTGCTCAGGAGGTGGGTTTCGATGACAAAGCACCTGATGACTTTGTGGCTTGGGCAGGTCGGCGTGGCTGGCGGTGCTTCGCTAGCCCAGGTGCTGTTTCCAGTGGAGCCACACCGACACAAGGTGTGGCGGTCCTTGCACGTGACCACGTTGGTCTTCCCATGATTGCATGGTTGGGCATCCACGGCGTGCCCTACACGCGATCGTCCACTTTCCAAGATGGCCACCGCTACATGCTGTTGCCTTCTACCTAGTGGCCCATCAAGGCATCGGAGGCAGGAGTGCTCGTATCCTGTCCCAAACCCGCTGTGCGTATTTCAGGTATTTCAGATATTGTTGTGCTTGCTGGTGATCGGAATGCAACACCTCGAGATATCGAAGAAACTGGCTGCCCTGGTGAATCTAAGTTGGTCATTGTAGCGCCGCCTTTGCCAACGTGCATCACTCCGAAAGCTAATCGGACGATCGACTTCTTTGCGGTCAATGTTGTGGCCGAGAGTCTACTTGAGCCGGCCAGCGTGGATGCCGCATGGGACGAGCTCCCCCGCAGGCCAGTCATCCTTGACCTCTCCAGTGAAGGCCTCAGGCAGCAGCGCATGGTCTACGCAGCTGCAAAGAAGTATGCCGCTGGGCGAGTCTGCGGGCCCGTCATGCCCGGTCCCGATTGGTCGCGCGCTGCTGCCCTTGCTGAGGCTGCTGCGCAGGCTGGACTTGGCCGACCCGCCCGTGATGCTTGGTGTTCACTATCCAGGGTTTGGGCGCAGTTCGCCCACGTCGCGGAAGGGGAGGTCCGCGCTGCGATTGGCCAACCCCATCGGCTTCCTCGTGGG